GGAGAATTCTAAAATGGCTGCCATTTATAGCTCGACCATTACACAGTGCTGGCTGGCTGGCTGCTGATTGGCTAATGCGATCACATGTCATGAATGAATGCATTATGGGTCAGCGCGCCTTGTCTGCGCGCCTTCCCAGACATCCCCGCTCCGTCGCCGCACATGTCGCCGTCATTTTAGGAAAAATTTCGATTCGCGCATCCGAAGTGTGCTTATTTTCGGATTCGGAATCGGAATCGAAATTTTCCTAATATTCGAAACGAATTCCACTTCGCCTAGTTCGATTCGCTCATCTCTAAAAGCTACCCAATCACGTCTGAGATCTTTGGATGGCCGGTTGTCTGTGTGGCCTGTGTTGTTGGTACCTGTATTTGGACCACTGACATACCAGCCAGTCGGGACCACACAGTACCATTCACTTGATTTTATTTTGTTCATGCCTATCTCGCTTTTTACCATGCTGCTGTTTGTTTCCTGGATTATTGGTTATGTTTGACCCATAGCCTGCCATTTGCTATGTAACTTTTCTGTACTGCCTATTGTACATATTTTGGCTACTTTGCAAAAAAATTATAAATAAAAGAATTAAAAAAAAAAAAAGCTACCCAATCACATGGAAAGAAAATTAATTTTTGCTTGCACATGATTGGATGATGGAAGTCAGCAGAGCTTCTGCTCATTTACAAAGTTCAGGAGCAACTGCACAGTCTAATTGTCTTTAGTAAATCAACCCCTATGTGTACCCACATATGATAAAATTAAAATCTGCAAACAGTGTCATACAGTGTAATGTGCTACAACTCAAATTATCATATAAAGTGTAGAAAAATCAGTTGTGACGTTACGTCACAACATGTGACTTCATCAGGGTCCTGCGATGACATCAGGCCGTCATATTGATTTCATATACAGGAAGTGAGAGTATATTTGCTATATTGCCAAAAATATTGGGCTAGTCCTCCAAATCATTGGATTCAGGTGTTCCAATCACCTCCATGGCCACAGGTTTATAAAATCATCACCTAGGCATGCAGACTGCTTCTACAAACATTTGTGAAAGAATGGGTCGCTCTCAGGAGCTCAGTGAATTCAAGCGTGGTCCCGTGATAGGTGGCCACCTGTGCAATAAGTCCACCCGTGACATTTCCTGGCTACTAAATATTCCACGGTCATCTGTTAGTGGTATTATAACAAAGTGGAAGCAACTGGGAACAACAGCAACTCAGCCACCAAGTGGTAGGCCACGTAAAATGACAGAGCTGAAGCACACAGTGCGCAGAAGTTGCCAACTGTCTGCAGAGTCAATAGCTAAAGACCTCCAAACTTGGTGTGGCCTTCAGATTAGCACAACAACCGTGCGTAGAGAGCCTCATGGAATGGGTTTCCATGGCCGAGCAGCTGCATCTAAGCCTTACATCATCAAGTGCGATGCAAAGCATTGGATGCCGTGGCGTAAAGCACGCCGCCACTGGACTCTAGAGTAGCAGTAGTAGTAGTAGGAGACGTGTTCTTCGGGTTGACGAATCATGTTTCTCTATCTGGCAATCCAATGGATGTGTCTGGGTTTGGCAGTTGCCAGGGGAACGGTACTTGCCTGACTGCATTGTGCCAAGTGTAACGTTTGGTGGAAGGGGGTTTATGGTGTGGGATTGTTTTTCAGGGGTTGGACTTGTCCCCCTTGTTCCAGTGAAGGGAACTCTTATGGCGTCAGCATACCAAGACATTTTGTACAATTTCATACTCCCAACTTTGTGGGAACGGTTTGGGGATGTCCCCTTCCAGTTCCAACATGACTGAACATCAGTGCACAAAGCGAGGTCCATAAAGACATGGATGAGTGAGTTTGGGGTGGAGGAACTTGACTGGCCTGCCCAGAGTCCTGACCTGAACCTGATAGAATGCCTATGGGATGAATAAGAGCGGAGACTGTGAGCCAGGCCTTCTCTTCTGACATCAGTGCCTGACCTCACAATGTGCTTCTGGAAGAATGGTCCAATCTTCCCATAGACACCCTCCTAAACCTTGTGGACGGCCTTCGCAGAAGAGTTGAAGCTGTTTTAGCTGCAAAGGGCGGGGCCAACTCAATATTGAACCCTACGGACTAAGACTGGGATGCCATTAAAGTTCATGTGCGTGTAAAGGCAGGTGGCCCAATACTTTTGGCAATATAGCGTATGTGCTACACATAACAAGTAAATTAGTATTATCTTTTCATGATATATACATATATATACATGCATACACGTAATATTCAATGTGTGCAAAAAATATTCAGTAATCCAATTTTTAAATAAGAGGGTTCCACCACCACTATAATACTGCAAATCAAATGCTCCAACCAGCGCTAGATCAAATAAAAAATATCACATAAAAGTAAACATTGTGTAAATATGTGTTAAATCTAGGGCATAAATAAATAAATAAATAAATATTATCTTCTCATAATATATGCATATGAACAATTCAATGTGTCCAATATACAAAAAAAAGAACCAAAAGTACAATTTATAATAAGAGGGTTAGTGTTACTACAAATCAAATATAAAGATCATATATTCCAACTGGTGCTCACATTTTGGATATCCAGTATTTTACAATCACCGATGTGAGCAATCTTCAGTGTGAACCACCACCAATCACTCTCTGTGCTCACCTTAACTTCTGGACGTTAAGCAGCTCACTATACGATTTCCCCTATATGGGGGATCCCTGAAGATTACTCTAAATCTCTAATTCCTTCCTTGTCTCTTCTCTCCATAGATTTCAATGTGTATCCAACAAACCCAACATATTCTTCAATAACAAATGTCACTCAAAAGGAACAGAAACCAAACATAGTGTTTTTCTACATAAAAACCATTACACATGTATTTAAAAACCCTTTAAAATAGACTCACAATGTTAGAGCACTAATAAACAGCAGTGCACAACCTTAGAAATGGTGTTTGCATACAGGGGTGGACTAACCATTTAGGCACTCAGGCACTGCCCGAGGGCCCAGGGTCCGTAGGGAGCCCCATGAGATGCTCCTGGTACCTTTCATAGGCTTTTTTGGGTGTCGTTTGAGTGTGGGCGAGGACACAGGGGCCCCATGATTTCCTATTGCCCGGGGGACCCATGAGTTGTCAGTCCGCCTCTGTTTGCATATACAGGTATATGTTCCCTAAGTGTTACTAAACCCTGCATTCACTATATCTGGTCTCCCCAGACCCTGCATGCACTATATCTGGTTTCCCCGGACCCTGCATTCACTATATCTGGTCTCCCCAGACCCTGCATGCACTATATCTGGTTTCCTTAGACCCTGCATTCACTATATCCGCTCTCCCCGGACCCTGCATTCACTATATCTGGACTCCCCGGACCCTGCATTCACTATATCTGGTCCGCCCCTTTTGGCATATACATGTATATGTCCCCTAAGTGTTACTAAACCCTGCATTCACTGTATCTGGTCTCCCCGGACCCTGCATTCCCTATATCCGCTCTCCCCGGACCCCGCATTCACTATATCTGGTCTCCTTGGACCCTGCATTTACTATATCCGCTCTCCCCGGACCCTGCATTCACTATATCTGGTCTCCCCGACCCTGCATTTACTATATCTGGTCTACTTGGACCCTGCATTCACTATATCTGGTCTCCCCGGACCCTGCATTCACTATATCTGGTCTCCCCGGACCCTGCATTCCCTATATCCACTCTCCCCGGACCCTGCATTCACTATATCCACTCTCCCCAGACCCTGCATTCACTATATCCAGTCTCCCAGGACCCTGCATGCACTATAGCTGGTCTCCCCCCAGACCCTGCATTCACTATAATCTGGTCCAGACCCTACATTCACTATATCCGGTCTCGGCGGACCCTGCATTCACTATATCTGGTCTCCAAGGACCATACATTCATTATATCTGGTCTCCCACAGTACACACAACATTGAAATGCAATTATTTTAGTAAATATAAACTGCTAAATACGTTTTCTCATCAGCAGTTAGAGCAATCTTGTGACTTCTATCAGTGTCTGGCAGAGCACATGTTAAAGCTTGTAGGAAGAGTCTTCATTTTGCTCTAGCGGGATGCAGAACCCTTGACCTTTGTCTGAACAGTGCTGACTGGCACTGTGTTGATCACATGCACTCTCCCAAGACCTCTTTAGCAATATACACCAAACTGAGCATGTACAGAGTGACTCCATAAGATATGTCTTCACAGGGGATAAGAGGGGGGCAGTGGGAGAAGGGGAGGATCAGAGAAGTCTGGATCAAACATCTTTTTTCCACAATGCAGAGGATAAACCTGTTAGGTTCCACAGTGAATATAACAAGCATGCTTTACTGCATTTACAGACTGATTTTACTGTTGTGGGTTTAGTAACACTTTAAGAAGAAGATCGCAGCATCAGCAAGCTTCAGTATTCAGATCGCTCCTTCCGGGTGGCGTGATCAAGCTCCATGATGACGTCATCAATCTGCCTTCCAAAGAAGTCACAGGAAGTGACGAAACGCGTCAAGGCAGACCTTAATGACGTCATCACACCACCAGGAAGGTGGCTTAAAGTGGGTTGGAAGTATCACCAAATTCCAGACTAAAAGTGATACCAGATGCCATGCCCACGTGGTTTGACGGGCAGTAGTGAGAAACGTTTGTGCTGGCTGTGCGGAACTTGCCGTACACGATGTCTTAAAATATATATAGATGGGCAATACTTAAAGTTACTTTTACAATTTTGAGAAAAAACAAATATTTTTTACTTTTTGCTATTAAACATGTCCAGTTAAAAAAAATAAACATCAAATTTCATCATAAATTTACGGAAAAATGTATTCTGCTCCATGTCTTTGCTGGAAGAAAAATCCCAATACGTGTAAATGAATTAGTTTACGTGAAAGTTATAGCGTTTACAAATGGCGGTATAGATACTGGAATGTAATGGCGGTGATCAGTGACTTATAGCAGGATTGCGGGACTGCGGCGGGCATTCTGACACTGGGGGAACTGACTTGGTGTCACTGACATCACTAGTGACACCAATACAGTGATCAGTGCTAATCAAAAGCACTGACTCTATACTAATGACACTGTTGGTTGTGTATGTGCCTCACTGTAAGCACACACTGCTACGCAGAGCCATACAAAGCAGTGTGCAGGAGCTAATAGGGGAGAGAGTAATACTCAGCAATCACAGGGTGTCGGCGAGTAATCACCGCCCAGACCCGGTGGTTGAAAGCTGAGGCCATGAATGGCGGCGCAGGTAGGGCTCGCATGCACCCCCTACCTGGAACTGCAAAATCATGTATATATTCACATGATTTTGTGCACCCGTGCTGCCCTGTAACAGTATTTCTGCTATAGGGTGGACAGGAAGCGGTTAAAGCATGATATGTCAGGTATCTATTTACTCGGCATGACATATTTTTGTTATATTTTACCAAAATTGGGTATTATATTGGGTTTGTGTGCACTAAAATTCATTATTTTTTCCTAAAAATGTGTGTTTGAAAAACCACTGCGCAAATGCCATGCAACATAAAAAATTGCAACACCCACCATTTTATCTTCAAGGGCAGTGGTTCTCAACCTTCCTAATGCCGTGACCCTTTAATACAGTTCCTCATGTTGTGGTGACCCCCAACCATAAAATTATTTACCCAGTAATTATAATTCATGAGTGTTGTTTTACCTCCAATACTGCTGCTTTCAACACAGTAGCTGCTTTTAACAGAGTAGCTGCTTTCAACACAGCAGCTGCTTTCTGCACAGTAGCTGCTCTTTACACATCGGAAATATGTGTTTTCTGATGGTCTTAGGGGACCCCTGTGAAAGGGTTGTTCGACCCCCAAAGGGGTCGCTACCCACAGGTTGAGAACCACTGTTCTAGGGCATCTGCTTTAAAAAAAATAATGCTTGGGGGTTCTAAGTAATTTTCTAGCAAAAATAAAAATGATGTTTGTACATGTATGTATGAAATATCAGAATTGGCCTGGGTGGGAAATGGTTAATTACAGATGGCATATGATATTTATGTTTTTTCTTCCAAAGAAGAAGAAGCTTTATTTTAATTCTAAATGTGAAAAATCTTCAGCTTTGAAGATATTAGTGTGAAAACAGGAACTATAGGTGACATTTACAGCTGGGCAGAAATCTTTCATTCGTCTGTGTCATGCAGGGTCTGATAATAACATAGTTCAGCATTATGCAGCATCAACAATACCTTCCATTTAGAGCTATATGAAAACATCTTTGTCCTGACTAGGACAATATGAGTCTGCTTTTACTTTTAAACAGATTTATCCTTCGCTTCTGCCATTTTAAGAATCAATTTCACAGTAGTTCCTATAGTCTAAGCACACAATAAGCCTGGAAGAAGGAATGCACTGATATGGAGGGGGAAATTAAAGTTTGTATTCATTGCATAAAGTCAGTAACTTTTTACTTTGCTCAAGGGTTTCAATAAAATGCACTGCCAACACCAGGAGTGTTTATGACCCATTTGGCTCGCAATAAAATTACCATCAGACTTGAGATCTTTACGAACATTGCAGATTTTAGTGAACTTAAGATATATTAGGCTGAAAAAGACATGGCTTCAATTTAAAGTGTATGTAAACCCTAACAATGAACTTTTCTTATTTGCTCCCTTTTGGTCTATTAAATATAACATTGGTAGCATTTTGTTATATATGTTTAATAAGTGTGTAGCACCCTCCTAGGTAGCTAGGGGGAGCTAGATTCTAAATCTCAGTTAGAGGGGCTGAGTAGCAGCCCAGGTGCTGAGAGGCTCTGCAGACTAGCTCTCTGGAACTTTCCCCTGCTCTAGAATTTTGGTGAAGATTCTAGAAGCAGTGGGAGGAAGTGAGGAGTGGCTGGTCTGCACTCTCAGGAGATCTTGGACAATCCCCAACAGGAGGCTTGCCATAGGGCCAGGACAGCCCTTGAAGTGAGGGAGCCTGCTCAGCAGCAGTAGAGTTTGGGTGGAAGATGGAGAGAGAAGGCTGAGGAGTAGGAGCCTGGGCAGAGGCCCAAATGGGAAGGGGCTCACCTACAGGCAGTGGAGCTGGAAAGGAGGAAAGCTCAGGACTTCATCGACCCCCAGAGCTAGGACCACCTGTGCAGCAGAGAAGGAGCAGCCCAACAGAAAGCCTGAGAGCAGCCACCAACCCATCATCTCACAGATAGAGGACTGAGTGAGTAGACCTACAACACCTGGGCCAGAAAGGGGAAGAAGAACTCTAGTTGGAAACTGGAATAACTACTACCAGGGACTGTTGTATCTTTTAAAGTGACATACACTGGAACCCCTGCTCAGGGATTCACCCTGTACAGCTATATAAAGGAGTATCTGGGGTCTGGGTGGTACACCAGGAGATGCTGGCTAGCTCTCCAGAAGAGAATGTTTGCTGTCTAAAGAGACTTTACATAAGGGAGATTGTTCTCAGTTGCCATTCTCTTTGGGCATCCCATACATCCCTAACCCCATTCAAGTTTAATTTCCCTAATACATTTAAAAAAAACAAGATCAAAGACTGGATACTGTCTCCTGCATGCAAGTCTGTATGGAAAATGTGTGTTCATTGCCGTGCAGGACTATAAGGGGACCCAAAACCCAGCAACTCCTACAGGGGTAGTGTTACAAGTGCAAACATAACAAAACAAAACTTGGATCATGCCAGAAATTCAGAGCTGTCCTGTGTCCTGTGCATAACTTCCTGTGTTATCTTAAAGACTCTTGTTAGCCCTCCTTAAGCCAGCCATAGATGCCATAGATGGATCGAATCTCGGCCGGTTCAGCAGACTTGATCCATCTATGGGCAGGTAGTTTGTACCCAAGTTGATCCATCAATTGACTTGGGTCCAACCAGTCTTTCGTATATTTTGCATTTGATTACTGCCTGCGGCTATAGCTGCTAACAGTAATCATTGTATTCTGCTGGTCTAGAAAGCTCACCGCTCCCCACCACCAGAATACAATAGCTCCACAGGAGGCTGTACCCCATCAATACTGACTGTGGGAGAATTGAGTGATTTTCTTTCCTTTCACCCATGGCGGAAGAAAAGAAAATAGAATAATCTATGGCTTGTTCTTACCATGGACTGCAGAATTATTAACCTTGTAGAGATGTGAGCAGGGGCGGACTGACCATTCGAGCACTCGGGCACTGCCCGAGGGCCCTGGGTCAGTAGGGGGCCCCATGAAATGCCCCTGGTACATTTTTATAGGCTTTTTTTTAGTGTGGGCAAGGACACAGGGGCCCCACAATCCCCTATTGCCTGGGTGCCCCATGAGTTGTCAGTCCGCCCCTGGATGTGAGAGTGGAAAAGGCAACTGGGCAGGGCTGACACTACAATGTTGAGTGTTTTCAGCTCACAAAAGGGCTTAGGAACTGAGTGCAATTCTGGCCAATCGAGAGGTATTTTTTGATACTTGCTGGATCTTTAAAGGGATAAAACATGGGAAGATGGGCATGTATTTTAGAGATGTATTGCATTTTTTAAAATGTAGCCTTGACATACATTTTAAAGAGGTTTTTCACAGTAAGGGACCATGCAAACTGGGC